AGATACCAGAGCCTGTCTGATTTTGGAAGCTAAGCAGGGTTGGCCCTGGTTGACACTTGGATGGGAGTCCATCCATTGAAGAAGAGCATATCTGCAATTATATTATAATCGACAGGGATGAGCTTGTTGACTGAGTTCGATTCTGGGGAGCGGCGTGAGCTTCCGCTGTCAGCACTAGCTTCTGCCAACCTAGCAGTTCGAAAACATGCAAATGTGAGTAGATCAATAGGTGGGAAGGTAACGGCGCTCCAAGAAGTCATGCCGGCCACATGACCTTGGAGGTATCTATGGACAACGCCGGCTCTTCGGCCTAGAAATGGAGATGAGCACCACACCCCAGAGTCAGACATGACTGGACTTAATGTCAGGGGACTACCTTTACCTTTACTAAGGTACTAAAACCTGTCTGATTTTGGAAGCTAAGCAGGGTCAGCCCTGGTTGAGACTTGGATGGGAGTCCATCCATTGAAGACCAGCATATCTGCAATTATATTGTACAGGGATTTTGCTTAGCCTAAGATACCAGAGCCTTCTGATGTTGGAAGCTAAGCAGGGTTGGCCCTGGTTGACACTTGGATGGGAGTCCATCCATTGAACACCAGCATATCTGCAATTATATTGTACAGGGATTTTAGGTAGCCTAAGGTACCAGAACCTGTCTGATTTTGGAAGCTAAGCAGGGTCGGTCCTGGTTGGGACTTGGATGGGAGTCCATCCATTGAAGACTAACATATCTGCAATTATATTGCACAGGGATTTTACTTAGCCTAAGGTACCAAAACCTGTCTGATGTTGAAAGCTAAGCAGGGTCGGCCCTGGTTGAGACTTGGATGGGAGTCCATCCATTGAAGACCAGCATATCTGTATTTATATTGTACAGGGATTTTAGGTAACCTAAGATACCAGAACCTGTCTGATTTTGGAAGGTAAGTGGGGGCGGCCCTGGTTGAGAGTTGGATGGGGGTCCATCCATTGAACACCAGGTACTGCAGGCTCTGTTTCAGAGTAGTTGGCAATATACATACTCTCTTCTCTCTCTTAGGCAATCCCTCGTTTTCTGAGGATAATTGTCTTCCAGTGTTCTTGTGGATCCGTATGTGGCTGTGGAGCCCTATTCTTGCTCTGCATCTTCTTCCGCAGTGAGGGCATTGGTTTCCAGGTGGAAGGCGGTCTCGGTCGGGGTTGGCTTGATGCGCCTTCCTCTTGGCACGCTTCTCCCTTTCGCCCTCCATTCGTGCCTCCTCAAATTCTGCAGCACTGCTGGTCACAGCTGACCTCCAACTGGAGCGCTCAAGGGCCACTCCATTGCACTACGTTGGAAAGAACACTACCAAAGCCTCCTGAACCGCAGCTCCAATGTGGCCGAAGAGGTTCTCTCACAAATCCCGCAACAACAAACCAGGGATGAGCTTGCAGCACTGCCTAGTTTGGAAGAAGTCAGCAATGCCATCAGCCATCAAAAAAATAGCAAAGCCAGCGGACCTGATGGGATCCCTGCTGAAATCTTTAAAGAGGGAGGACCTGAGCTGACACAACAACTCCACCAGCTCATAGAATAAACATACATATATACATACATACATACATATACACCTTGCATTTACAAACCCTATGAAATTCATGGTAGTTAAAGTGGTGTCAAACTGCATTAATTCCGCAGTGTAGACGCAAAGATTTGTGGAAGTGTTTCCCTTTCTGTTTCACAAGTGGGAGCTTAATAAACTTGGACACAATGCAAAGCAAAACAATATAAATGTCTAAAAAATAGCTCTGTATATCTGCAGTTATCTCTCATCAATCCAAACCAGGGAATGATGGGAGCTGCAATTCTGTTGCAAAAACAGAGAGAAATACACACACATACCTTTTGCTCCTGATTGACTTAACTACTTGCATGTGTAATCAAAGCTTGCTTAATTTCTGAAATCAGGGACACTTTTAAAATCAGCAGAAAGATTTCAGTCCTATGTATTCAAACCACTTCATCAGCCCGAAATGCGCTTGTTTCAGGTTGACTGAGCCTGTCAACCCACCTGTCCGTTTTCAAAGCCTTATTTATTTACCCAGAATTTAAAGTTTCTAAAAATACAAGGTAAACAATTCAAAGGCAGAGCGCCTTGTGCCACAATAGCCTGAAGACTAAACAGATTTGGCGCACATCGCAATCAAAGGATGGCAGAGAGAGGGGAAGGAAGTAAACAAAAGGGGGACAAAGGAAGAAGGATATGAGTTGCTGCAGGAAGTTTGCTTCTACCTTCTACATCACAGTGAAGACTGGGCTCCAATATTAGAAGATCTTGGGGTGCATCTACATCAGGCATGGGCAAACTTCGGCCCTCCAGGTGTTTTGGACTTCAACTCCCACAATTCCTAACTTACTTACTTAGGTGATCCCTCGTTGCCTGAGTAGGATAGTCTTCCAAGATCAGTGTACTAGTGGTGGATACGTAGGTGACTGTGGAGCCCTATTCTTGACCATCAACTTCTCCCGCAGTGAGGGCATTGGTTTCCAGGTGGAAGGCGGTCTCGGGCGGGGTTGGCTTGACGTGCCTTCCTCTTGGCACATTTCTCTCTTTCGTCCTCCAATTTGTGCCTCTTCAAATTCTACAGCACTGTTGGTCACAGCTGACCTCCAGCTGGAGTGCTCAAGGGCCAGGGCTT